GTTCATTATCATCTGTAGTATACTCCAGAAAATGGTTGGCATTGAATTTACACATACATGAATTGCAGGAAATGGGAATTCAAAGCAAGAGATACCAAAGGGCCACCACCATTGTGACGGTATGTTAATAACCATAGTGATGAGCACCTCTAATGATCTGCATCTTACCTGAAAAGCCAGTTCCATCAGCACAATCCCACCTGGCAATGCCCTCTGGAGGTGATATGCAGTGGTGCCAGATGCTGTAGCCTGCAATGTTACAATTAGTTTGTCTGATTTATGTAGGTGTTCCACTTCATCAAATTATACTGTTCACTTGGTGAAGATGATATTTGATATTTAGTATTGGCAAAAAATGTTGTTACATGTTTCGGATTCATCGTTCGTGTAATTAGCCTACATTAGCATGACAGGCTTTTGTATTGTATATTACTTATCATAGTAAAAATCTGGCAGTCTTCAGATTATACTAAATTGACCTGGCTGAGATCTACAGAGCTCTCTACGTACAGGCTTACTAGTGGCTTTCCAAGAGTGGAATGGGAATCAGCTGTTGAGGACCTCTGTCTTATGATTTGCTCACAAGAAAGTTCCTTAGAAAACTCTTCTTCAGTTTCATGAAGTTTTCTTAAACAGCATAATTATTCTGTGTTCTTATAAATGCCATAACCAATGCCCATAAAAAGGCATGAGACTGCTATGCTGTGTGCACACAGAAATCACTGAAACTGAGAAGAAAATTTAAGGAGACAGGAATGTCAAAATGAAAATCTAAAGACAGTGGTGCACTGGAGCTAAAATAACACAGAGAATATTAAATAACACAAAAAACAATACATTGAATGCAGTTACACATTGACAGATACAGTGAAGTCTGTGTTGGGAGAAAGTTGAAGCAAATAAATAGTTTGATCCAAAATAAATATAATCAAACAGTTAAGAGAGAGGGGGAAAAGTAAAGGGAAAGGAAGGTGGACAGGCTGGCAGAGTTATCTGATCTGGACCAGAGTATCATTGGAGACACAGCAGGTGAACCCTCAGTAAAAGGATGGGTGTGGGTCGGTCACATTGATTGGGCTGATTGTTTACACTGCACATGTTGGTAATGTGGGAAAAAAAAGCAATAAGCATCTGTGTCACGGACAGAATAACACAAACTCAGTGCAGCTACATTAACTGCATGGGGCTCAGGTTGGGTTCCTACACAAAAAAGGAATGACTATTTTGGGTTGAATAAGTGTTATTTTCTATAGCATGTCCATGTCAGTTAAATCTCAGAGAAACTTAAAGAAATAAATACTGGGATTGAGCACTCCCATCCTTTTTCACTATTACAACACCACACTCATTCTATTTGCAATACTATTTTTTGGAGAATAACTGATTTGAAAATGCAGACAAAAAAGCTACCAGCAAATTAGTTTTATAGTGTTTGAGGCCAAGTCTTCACTTTACTAACCAGCCTGTGGTTTAGTGCTGACCACAAATTAACAAACTGCTCTTTTCTAGTGATGTTTTGAGCATTGAGTTTACACTTGTAAATATATATATATATATATATATATATAAAATATTTGTCTGTTCTACAGACTTGGTAGAGGTTGTTTTTTGATCAAACATAACATCATGCATAGCTTCTATTCAGAAATTGAATGAGGTTAATGCATAGTTTTAGGAAGGGAATAAATGAAAATGACAATTAATTTAAAAAAACATAAAGAATGAAGGTTGCACTGTCTTTGGGGAACAACTGCATACATGGACTACATTTTAATAATACATCTGAAATATAACCCTAACCCATTGGTGCATGAATCTGGCTGTACAATAGTACAGCCAGATTCAACAACGTGTGTGCTTGCAGAATAAAATTTCTGCATCTCTGAGGAGAACACTAACCTTAGGGCTGTCCTCACTCTTCTGCTTTACATAAGAAAAAGACATCCTCCCTTCCAATGACATAGAGTTCAGCATGGTAGCCCGGGCCCGGGCAATGCTGTAAGAGATAGGGTTGGGGTGGAATGGAGAACAGGTCAGTTAGAGTCTGGTCAAACCAGATAAGCCTGGGCCCCAAGGGCTGATGGACCAGTAACAGCACATTAGCCAACCCCTTAAATACAATTCACAATGACTTGTTCTGAGCCTAGAAAGTGACAGGCAGGCAGAACCGACATATGCCCTGCATCTATTCTGTTTACAACAGCTATGGGCAGCAGTGCTTTGAGGTCAACCATCAGATAAGGATCAAAACACATATGATAACTCTAATGGATGAATGCTGAAGAAGAAAGGTGACTAAGAGAGGCAGAGATGAATTGATCATTTGTTTCACCCAAACAATTGAGCAGATGCAAACAGAAGAGCACTGTCATGTTGTGCTACAAGTACAATGCCATGCATTTACTAAAGAAAAGGTTAGGAAATTCAAATTTTCCCAAAAGCAAAACAAAAGTTTAGGCTGTTACTTGAATATTAGTATTTAGAAATACACAAACCTGCGTGCTGGAGACTGAGGCCGGACTTGGACCAAAATAAAGCCCATGCTCTGCAAGTACTGGACATACTGCTGGAGGAAGGTGCTGCAAATGTCAAGTAGCCAGGGCTCTTCCTTGAGTCGGTTTGGCATCATGTCAGCTGAGTCAGTGCTATAGCTGCGGTCCCGACCTGATGCTGTGGAGTCACTGGAACGATGTCGTTTCTGGGACAAATTTCACAATTTCAGTTACATTTACAGAACAATATACTTCACTTAAACATACAAGAAAGAGTCTAGCCACTCTGATTTGTGATTGAAAGCTTGATGCCATGAACATTGGAGCAGTTTTTCCATGGCTTGGGCCTGGTGTTCCCAATAAAGAGTCATTTATTAGTAAAGAGTGCACCCCATTGGTGCTTTGGTGAAGCGATAGGCTCCACACTCCAGCAACAGTTGTAGCAGATTGACTTGTTGCAGAACATTTTGACATTCACATCAATCACTTTCACATTTTCAAGTACATTTTTAAGCATCAACCCCCACATCAAGCCCACTAATATTACAAAGAGGCCACAGCAAAGAGGATGGTGATGTCAATCAAGCATAACTGTCTCTACCTTTAGTTTAGTTGGTGTTGCAAGTGAAAACTGATAAGTGATAAGCAAGATGTATATTCACTGTCAACCTAAACTTCCAATAACTTTGCTAGTCAGACAGCAAAGATACCTTCACCGGGGGCTGCACAATCTGTTCCTCTTTAATCTGCTTGCGGAAGATAGGGTCAAAGAGGAGAGGGGTTGCACAGTAGTGGACCAGCCTCGATGACTGCTTCAGGGTCTCCAAATCTGCCGCCTGTTGACACATAAATGTTATAGTCACTATAGGATAAGATGATAATACTGCAGATGATAAAGAATAAAGAAGTGAGATCATGGTGATACAAAGACTACAAGGCTGTTGCCAAGGCTCCATATTATAACTCATTACGGTCTTTATAGTGTTAAAAGGCATGGCTTTAAAGATTCTGCTGATGGAAACCCAAGAAAGAACAGGAGTTCAGATCCATCTGACCATGATGCAGTCATATCACATGAAATAGTTAAATTAATTCATGAAGTGGTATGAAAAATCTAAATGCCATTGGAGATGACTGTGCTGTTGGACCTGGGTCGGAGCTTGAGTTAGAGACTGCTGTGTGGGTGTAAATCTAATGCCAACATGTAACCTCTCTTGAGATGCTATTGTGGCATACAGAAATCTTTTTAATTAACCCAGATATTCCTCCCTTTGAAATATGGCAATACATACCAATTCCCATGAAAAGTGAACCATAATTATGAGTCTTACAAACCACTGACATTTTAAGTTTTGTCAGGTCCAATTAGCTGTATTTCATATTAAGCTTCATTCATACAACAGGAAGTTAATACTCAATTCTGACTTACTGGTCCAATCCAATTCATTGTTGAATGCTCAAATTATGTTTAAAAATGTCCAATATCAATACCATTTTTAAATTGTCACCTTTCTGAACTTACCCATAAGCTTAAGTACAATACCACACTAGATTTTAATACCATAGATGCTCCTGCCTAAGAACACAGCCTGATACTTAAGAGTTTGGACAATACAAATAATGAACACAAATAGACACATTTCAACATGGGTACTCCTGTACATACAAGTCACATTCACAGAGGTATTTATTTAGTGCTGCAATGGTAGAGGGGACAAGGTTCCTGCTGAAATGGACCCTTCTCCATTTAAAAATTCTGTAGCGTCCGGATGGCAGAAATGTGAAATGGTAATTGAGTGGAGATACTCTAGGTCTCATTAAGTGGAGATACTCTAGGTCTCATGACTATAATCTAAAAGGTTCAAGAGCAGCAACAATGAAGACATAGCATTTTAGCTGTGTTGGTACTGCTGCTATGTTGTGTCTTTTTTCTTTACTTTTTAATTTTTTTAAACGTTCAAACCCAAGCTAGAGTAGTTAATATTTTCCTTCCCCAATGAAGAAACATTCAAAATAAGTCCTCAGTGTCCCTCTTCTTATCACTTCCAGAGTAGCTGTATCCAGCTTTCCTCTTGAGCTGTGATACATTTGAGACAACCATTCAGATTGAGGTTGTTTGCGTTAGATAAACACACATCACAAATGACAATGTCCAATATTGCTAAAATGTCATCTGTGTCAACAAGGGAATAATCAGTGTGTATGAGGGGAATAAATAGCCTACCAGAGTGTCTACTTCCCTCTGCAGTGTAAACATATCCTTTAACTGATACAATACTGTATTTAAGTCACAAATATTTTATAAATTACTTACTGAAATGGGCATGTTAGACTGCGCTGACCTCTGTTGCCAAGTCACAAAGAGGTTCTCTATCTTCATCTGTTTCTCCAGTTCTGTCAACACAAATTTAAAGTCATCCCCACTCCTGTCTAGTGTGGAGTTTGATTGAATTAAAGCACGATAACAATAACAATATGTCATCATCATAAGTATTAGAAGTAGTTATAATAATAGCTGTATCAACCCCTCCTCTCAGCAGCTTTGATCTCCAATAGCTGGCCACCATGTCTGGCCACCACATCCCCCTCTGTCAAGGGTCGAATGGTACAGATGTCCCTCAGAGCTTCATCAAAGGGGAGCAGCTCGGAGGGGAAGTGGAGTGGAGCAAGACTTCGGCCAGTGCTACCCAGCCTGCCTTGTTCTTTGTTTGGCAAAGGAGGAACTGCACTCCGCAGCAACGCATCAGGTTCCATGGAGGGGCTAAGGAACCGGTCGGAATCCTGCTAAAGACGCAATGAAAGCAAAAAATATAGTGAAAAACGTGAAAGGACATAAATCAAATAGCTTGTTATACAAATAGTAGACGACTAGGTAGTGTAGAGCTTGGAAATGTGTGCAGAGTAAATTAAAGTAAAATAAACAAAACTGTGTTCACCCTCCCTTATTTATGACTGTTCTTGTGTGTGGCCTTTACATAACTTGGAATAATTTTTGCCGTTAACTTTTCCAAACATAACATTTCGGCTTAATTCTATTTAGCAATCGACACAATCTTCAGATATTTTTCAAAATTTTCAAAATAAAAGCTCTATAATTCCATTCAGTATTAAGCATTGCAACAATAAAATGAAAGGACAAATTGCCAAAGTGGAACTGATTCTGTGAATGTTGTTGCCATAATAGAGATCTGCACCTGTTGTACTGTAGTTTATCCGAGAACGTATGGTCAACTCACTCACACACTACCCTGCCCCCACTGACAGCTACAGAGTGCTGATGTCACTTAATCCAACTTTTATTAATATTGCAGGTAAAGTGTTCCCAAATTTCCCCCTCCTCAATTTTGCAATATTTTGTACTGTGAGTGGTCATAAACACTACAAAAGTGATATATAAATACAGACCATTTACTGAAGTAATGACTAGAGGTTTGGATTTTTCTGATTACATTACACATTGTAAATTTAGTGCACTATACATCAGTCTTGATGAGCATTCTTTAATTCTTAAGAATTGTTCATATGCCCTGGTTGCTGTTGAGAAGAACTTTGGGGCAAGTTTGTTCAGTGGAGCAGCTCAGGGCCCAGCTGCCCCAGTGTGGCAGAGCTGGCCTTGCCATGCCCACAGGCTTGAGGGTTAAACTGTGCGCTGGTGCTCCCTCTGCTTCTCATCAGGACCATGACAGATGAAGCTCTGTTCAGGCAAATTTTCTGCTGCTCTGACTCTGCCTTCTGTCTGCACTCATTAGTAGCGCAGCGATGAAGAGCCAGGCCTTTGAAGGGACAGGAAAAGTTTGGTTCTTTATATTCTTTTAATTGGCCATAGGGGGCGGGCTAAAGAGCATTTGGTGTCTTTTTTGCTGTAAAATGTTGCCCTAATAAATCCCAAGTTCTGGCTGTCCCACACAACAATGTAGAAAAACACTATGTAGGATATTTTTTCAGTATTTTTAGGACTTTTTATTTCAACTCAACCACATCTTATCATATGACTAAATTGACCTACTATTGGAGAGCGACCCATCCACCCTCACTCCCTTATTGCCCCTTGCTCAACACATTTTGGATGTTATTAATGGGCTTGAAAAATAGGGTGACAAAAGTTTTCATGTAAATGGTAAGTGGTTTGTATTAATATAGCACTTTTCTAGTCTTGATGACCACTCACAGTACAGAAAATTGTAAAATTGACCAAGCAGAAACCTCTTATTTACAAGACAATTTTATCAGATTCCAAATGCAAACTATCACAGTTCTGGGGGACTACCCTATGTAGCAGAAAATCTTTTCTCCCTGGTGCTCTCTACCTTCTCACAAATTGCAGTGGAAATTGAAAATCAATTCATTCAAAATGTCAGTCTATTTCCACCACTGTCATTTCACTTACTAGTGGGAACAGTGACAGTGATATGACAGATGACTCATGATGTTAGGAAGGAGGACAGAGCTGATTATATGAAATCCAAAAGAACAAATTGAGACTGACAAAGGTTAACTTGCAGTGAGGTTTTAGTCACACTGCTGAGAAAGTTTGTTGTGTGCTGCTGAGAGCATCAGTTGCGTATTGACACACAACTCCAAATTAAATACAGAGGATCCAGCAGTTTTGATGAAATACTCTAAAAAGAAAACAAGCCAAAATTGATATAACTGCACGTGACAGGAAGATGGGAGTGAATATAGTAAGAACCTCTGACTAACATTTACTCTGTACTGATTTTTTTCAAAATTTCTTTTTGATTCAGAAATGCATTTTACACAGTGATCATTTTTATTTCACTCCTACAACATAACCTCACAGAACAGTATGTCAGTGTGTTTAATCCATGGGTCAGTTAAGCATGGTTCAGCTCATTTTTTGTTTTACTGCTTTGGTCTCACTGTGCATCTTTTTGCATTACAAAACAGAAGGCAGACATGCTTGGAGCAGCTGGTTAATGGAGAGGAGCATTTCGAAGCTTAGGAGACAGTTATCTTTGGAGTTGGTAGAGACCAAAGACTGAGGTAAAAGAAAAATACTTAATTAGGTGGACACAACTCTACATGAATAAATATGTTGTTGTGATTGTTGGTTATATAAATACTAGGGTCAATATATGAGACACTAATTACTTTATTAACTGAATCAAGCACAAAGTCAATATTCTCTCTCATTCAGCATCTGCAGATGGACTCAGTACACATCACCTGAATGACATGTACAAATGAGCAAAGACCAGAGGAGAATCTGTGTACTTATAATTCACAGCCCCCTCTCATTGGGAGTGGAAAGGTATGTATTACCCTCCTGGTATCTTAATCAGTGGAGGAGACATCCTGCCCTCACATTTCTGTGGACAACCCCTAGAGGGAGATCCCAGATCTGAGATCCCAAACATATGACAAGAGATACCATAAAGTTGAGCCTTCAAGAGGCCATAAAGTTAAATTCTCTGAGCAATAATTGTAAACCTAAAGTTGCCCTTTTAGATAAACAATTTGGTAAATCTTCCACATACACCTCTGCTTGTGCAATATCACATGCACAAATGGCATAATTTAAATTACAGTGTTTTAAGTGTACGTTAGTGTTTACAGCTTGCTTCAACCCCTATAAGTGGCCAAAATATTCTATAAAAGCAGGTTTAACTAACATTTAAAAAAAAAAAAAATTGCATCATATTGTCTGCATTTAATAGTGCTTAATCTTGTGACCACTAAAAGTGCTTTATAGGTTAGTTTTATCATTCACAAACACATTCATCAATGTGCAGCACTTTGTCTATCTCACATTAGTCACACACCACTTGCTTGCGTACAATGCCGTTTATAACCAAACTCCATAAAAAAAAAACTGATCCGAAATAATCACTTTGCTCTCCGCAGCCTTCAGCTGCCAGGCTCCTCTCTTGGAACCAGCTCCCACTCTGGGTTCGGGAGGCAGACAACAAAATGTTTGATAAAGCTTCAAATTCTCTCCACTGTCCACCAAGTGTTGGCTCATTTTCTCATGCTGGGTTTCTCTCCAATAAAGTGAGATATTAACATTATTATGTAGACTGCCTTGAGATAATGTATGTAGTGATTTGGTGCTACACAAATCGATTTGAACTGAATCAGTTAATTGGCTAACCTTGGTTGGTGGTGGTGCCCTGCTGTGGATTATAAAGTAAATCATACCACTTATTGTAAGTACTGTAATGTAGTGTTCTCCAGAGCTTCTCTTTCTTAATCTGACATTTATCTTTCAATTCTGCTGTCGACTTGATAATGCTCCAATTTAGGAAGGATGTTTTTACCTGCTTAGATTCCATTTCATGCATGGGTGCATCAGAAAAGCAGTAGTGATGGAATAAGCCCATCTTCTGGTTAAGCAGGCAATGGACAACATGACCCCTGGCATTCTGCCATTTAACAAGGCGCACCAACTCTCGATTCATGGAGGCACCCAGGTCCACAGACCAGTTATAGCTGTACAGGGTCACCTAAAGAAATGCAAATCAGAAGATCATTGTAGGTAAATTTCTGAGCTACGGCTCTTTACAATCAGTTAGGACAGTGAAAGAAAGTAAATAAAAATAGTAATAATAATCCAGTCAATAGAAAAATGTACACATGTAAATATGCAAGAGGTAGAAGCACTTCCTACAGGTTTTGTGCCTCTGAAGAAAATATATTGTCAATATTCGCTTCTCATCTAACTTATGGTGTTAATTTAAAATTATGCGAAAAGTACTCTTGCACAACATGAGTTAGTGAGCACCCCGCCTTCTCCGACATAATCTGTCCACCTGAGATGTGTGATATATCAGTCCTTATTATAAAGCATAGTTATTGCACAAATGTGCCTTGAATTGTTCACAATAAAAGGCCACTTACATTACACTGTACATATTTCTATTCACTTTCCATTTATTCATTATTATTGTTACTTTAGTAGTACTGCATAAAAATTATTAAACTGATATCACAGAACCTTGTGTGAGGTAGAATAGATCACTTGATGGTTAAATGTCAATGGTATATGTTGCAACATTTTTTGTTGGTGGCTCAATGAATGATGAAATCAAATCAACAGATATGACAAAACCTGGATGAATAGCAAGCAATCTGAATGCTGAGATATTGTTAGAGTTAAATTAGAATTAATTTTGACCACTGACTGAACATGGGAACGAGTAAAGAGAGATGCACCTCTGTATTTCATGCAAGAATACCTCAGTAAGCAGAGAAGCACAGCAAAGAGGGAATATTTAGTCCTACAAGGGATATTCACAATAGGCTAACAAGTCACCTTTTTATCCAGTATGCTGATGAATAGGAGCCTTTGGCGGGGAGCCAGTCCTGCCCCTGCCTGGGTTGGACTGAACCAATCACTCTGCTCCAGAGCCTCGAAGCGCTGGAAGCCCTTATGAGCTGTGCAGAAGAGAGAGATAAAGCAAACAAAGAAAATTCCAAGGTACATAGCACACTGCGGCAAGTCCTTTAACACAGGCACCCGACTGTTTGTCAGGACAGTCGTTCATCTGATCTTCCCCAAACTGTAGGAGGCCAGTACAGAAACATACAATTACTAAGATATCAACTTTTTATTTTTTACATGTAATTCATTTACATTTGCGCTTTTACCGGATAACTGCTCAGTGGGTCCCCAAGGCCAAATGCACTGAAGTACATAAGGATTCTCTGAGTTGTGTCCAAGGTTAGGCTGAGTAAAAAGTTATACGTTTTACCTATTGGACGAAACACAAATGTTGGTCTGTAAATGACAGACATTTGTGGAGAGAAGAAAATGGAGAATCATAATTCTTTACAATGTGGTTATTAAGATTCCAACATATATCTAGGTGTTGGAGAAGAGAAAATGATGAGCAGTTCATTATTGGAGATTGATCAGTACTTCAGCTTCCAAAAAATGTAAAGTCTGCTTCAATTCTTAACTCTTTAAACAAAAAGCAGCCACTTTAAGGTTATTTATTTATGTATTGGAACTAGACTAACAGTAAAAATGTAACTCATATAGCTTTGTTTGTGATCAACTTGACAATGTTTAAGTATTTTATCTGTATTTCCTTGAGGTCTCCCTTGGTTGGCGCACAAACACGACAAAAGACACACTGCAGGATTTTTAAATAAATCAGGGGATGATTAACATTTCTCTTCACAGGTCTTCCATACACATAACTGTATACCTGAAGTTTACTAAAAGACAGTATGATAATCCACAGCACTACAAGAAAAATGTTTCATGGACAGATGAAACAGGTTAAATAATTGAAAAAGAGTTGAAGCTCAGGAGATGTTAGGTAATGCAGGAGAAGAATGCACCTGAACAGACAATTCCAGACCTTAACCCAACAGAGAAGCTGTGGAATGAGCTCAGAGAGTTGCCCACACAGAATATAAGCACCTGAGATGAAGCAGCTATGGTGGAAGAAAATTTTGAAGAGATTTTAATCGGAATTATTTAATTCAATTGTCACCTTTTTCCATGAGCAGTTTGGACATTTAATGGATGTGTTTGATTGTATTTTGAACTTACAGTAGGATCAGGTCACATTTGTTGACCAACTAAACAGGTCATTCCAAGTTTTCACAATTATTCTTGCTACTTAAAAAACATTAGGTTTGAAATGTTGAGTCGATGTATTAGACACACTGAAATGAAAGATATTTGAAATCTAGAGGGACTGACTCAAATGTTAGTTGTTTAAATCATTGAAACAACAGGAATATGTTCTAAACTAGGAGATTCAAACTTCTGAAACAAATGTGACATGGACAGCTACACTTTTAACCACATACTGTAAGAATCATTACATTGTAAATGCAACAACAATCTGTCAACTCCAATCTTACAATGGCATTTGTACTCCCTCTGGCTGAGAGTAGACACTAGCTTGTAGATTACAGTAGCTAAAAGATCATTTTGACCTCTTTTCAATTTACTTGTGAAACTAAGGCTCATAAGCAACAGTAAATTAAATCTGCTGCACTGGAAATTCTACCTGTAGAAATTAATGTTTAAAATCAGCTAAAAATGACAAGATGTGTTTGAACTAGAGCTATGCAAATCCTTGTTCACTTGCACTCAAATAATTGTTGCTTAATGTGAGCAACAGGCTAGAATTGAAGAACTCTGATTAATGTCTTGTATTGAACTGCAGTCTGATGAGAGGGGAAGTACAGGACAAGTTATCAGCAGTCCTGACGAGTAACTTAATTTGTTTATCATGCTTTCAACACTCATAACCATCATCTTTAATTATTCGATTTGAACCCAAATATTTATCTCTAGAAATCAGTGCAAATGCGCAGCGCAAATGATAGATACGCAGAGAGCAGCAGTAAGTAACTGACAGAGCCTGTAAAAAATAACCTTTTTATGGTTCAACCATGTATTTAAAGACCCCAAATGAACACTGTAAGTGGATTACTTGATCACTAAAAGAAAATTATTTAAACAGCATGTGTAAAGGAACAATTCTGTTTAAAGCTTTTTAATCCATATAAAGGGTTGATTATTATATCCATGATCTCCATAAACGGTTTCCACTGCATATTAAGGGCTGCATCTCTATTTAGAAATAAAAACCAAAATTATTTCTATCATCCCATCAGCATCAGTTTATCAAGCTGAAAGGTAAACTTACGTGTGAACCTATTTAGCACTGGGGTGTTATCCTCATCTGAACTGTCTTCTGTAGGCAAACAAAATGGTACAAACAGCAAGGCCGCATGGAGAATGAGATATACAGCGCGACACAAACTGATGTAAGCAGAAACTTGCAAAATAACACAGTAAAACAGCAGAGCATGTTGAATGACACAAAGGACTTGTAAACAACACGCTGCTGTAAGAAGTGGATTCAAGTCTTGGCACAGGTCATAGTATACAGTGTATACTATACACTATGCCTGCATCAACATTAATGGATACCTTATGGGCCCCATAATCTTTTGTTTTCCATTTCAGTTTAAACAGAAGCCTGTTATATCAGATGTACACATGAAAATGTAAAGGTCATATCCGTTTGTTGCAAAGATAATGTTAGGTGACTGGCAGAAGCATTTTCAACAACTGAAAGATAATTTCAAAACTGGTGGCGTGATGCACTTGCAAAAAGAGATCATTACCTTCTGAGCAAACTAGACATCCAATATAGCCTTGTTATAAACATCTGCTGCTAATAGTCAATTAAATATATGGGTTACGATGTTTAGACATCACAGATTCTTAAAATATATAATTTATCATTGGTGGAATGAGCTCCTCATTGATATCAGGAAGTCTACACATCCCCTGCTGCAAACTAAAGACACAACTCTTGCGACTATACCTTGGTTAAGAAAAAAGAAAAAGAAAAAAAAATTAGTTGCACTTATAGAGCACTTACATGTTGCACTTTTAGTTTGGCTTTTTTGAAGCAAATTGTACTAACTTGATTATTGTTGTTCTGGGTTTGCACCCTCATGGTTGATGCACATATTGTGAGTCACTTTGGATAAAAGCATCAGCTAAATGAAATGTAATGTAATGTAATACTATCTACCAGGCCTTGAACAAATTTGATTGATTGTTTGTTGAGAACTGTTTTTTGTGTGTTTGTTTGGTTGCATCTAGTGCAAGTTTAATCAGACTTTTAAAGAGGTGTTTCTATATTGAAATGTTGTGTACTGTCAAAGAAACAAGAGCAATGCTATTATTACGGTATATTGCCATATGCAGGAAAAAAAAAATTCCAACACTGTATTTTACGTTAACAATGTTTCAACAAAAAGAAATAAGAAGCCTAACAGAGTGTGTAAATGTAAAAATCCTGTTCTACTAACACACTAGTTGCATTAAAATGTTAGTAGGGAGAATTTGGGTAATCTGGGACATTTTTTGCAACTCTGACCTCTGCAAGTTACTAGATATCTGTTTTACAAATTAGATCAACATATTATATGTTTCTGTAGTCCGTAAGTGTTTTCTAACCACACCAGATATTTTGTTTTCTTTTAGTTTAAAGAAACCAATGGCTGAAGACCACAGCACAGCAACTCTTCTGTGCTTTTTGGAGAGCTAACTGATTACAGTTTGAATAGACAGGGAGAGAGTGTACTTACCATTAGCTCCTGTCTGACAACTGTAGCTCATATGCTATCTCTTTAGTTAATCTACTTTTTACTTCAGTAAGTCTCTGAAGTAGCTCATATGCTATCT